ATAGCAATAACATAGATGCGAATGACTCTAGTACTTCCAAAAATGAACTAGTGCCATCTGTCGCAAACATGCATCATGACTTTTCCGAAGACCCAATAACAATTGGAGATAAGATCTTTAAAGAGGAGCCTAAGTTAAAATGAGCCCATTAGAGTGGGGCCCTAAACCAAAATGACTTGTGTCCTTACAGGAGGAAAAGACACGCAAACCGAGGCAAGGCCTTGTGAGGACGCAGCCAGAAGGCAGGCCATCTGTAAGCCAAGGAGAGAGGCCTCAGGAGAAATTAAACCTACCAACACTTTGATTATTGGACTTCTAGCCCCCAGAAATGTGAGAAAATACATTTCTGTTAAGCTACCCAGTCTGTGCCTAGCAGACTAATAGACAGGCCTTTCAATCACCATTTTGCAGCCACTATAATAATAATTGATTCAGGCAAGAATCATCAATGAATGCTAAAAACAGTGGGTGAGAGTCAGGTGGAGAGCAGAATAGTCTCAAAAAATATTTCCACAAGACACTTAATAGTTACAAAGGGAAAAAGTTAACTTTTCTGGGAGACACTACCTTAATCAAATTATCAAAGTTAACATCACCAATATTGAGACAAACCAATGTCATTGTGCCTCCCAGCATGATACACGAAGGACACAATTTTCTTTCTGTATTTTGGTATTTCTGCCAAAAATGCATAGTCTGAATCTAATCATGAGAAAATATCAGACAAATCCAAATTTAGGGACATCTACAAAATACCTCACCAGTACTATTCAAAAATGTTAAGGTCATAAAAAAACAAAGAAAGGCTGAGTAACTAATTGCCTTTAAAGATTAAATTAAACTAAAGAGATAACTAAATGCATCAAGTGATCCTGATGGGATTCTAGCTATAAAGGACATTATTGGGACAATTAGCAAAATTTAAATATGGAAGGTGTATTAAATAAAAGAATTATATCGTTGTTAAATTCCTGATTTTGATACTTGTACTGAGATTATGCAAGAGAATGTCTTAGGAAATACACACAGGAGTATATGGTGCTAAAGGGACATGATGCCTGAAACTTAAAGACGATTTAGGAAAAAACAAAATACATGTTTTATACACACACACACATACACACATAAATACAAGAAAAAATATAATGAAAATGCAGCAAAGTATATTGGGCTGTCGGAAAACTCATGACATTTTTTTTATGGTTTTCGTTGCAAAAAGGCGTCATGACTTTTCCGACAACCCAATAATAATTTGTTATTCTGGTTGAAAAGTATATGAAAATTGTTTACTATTCTTGCAATTTATATGAAAATTTGAAATTTTACATATTAAAAAATTTTTTCAGTGACCACACTATTAGCAGTGGCCTGTCCCCAACCCCCGGAACGCTTTAGCTCATTCTTTTTCTTCGCACTGCCAAAAGTTATGCTGTGTATTTATTGTATTTAATAATAATACCTAACATTTATTGTGTGCAAGGCCCTGTCCTGTTCTAAGTGCTTTAATTGTACAAACTCAGTGAATCCTCCTACTGTTCTTCCCATTTTACAGATGAGGAATAAAGACAGAAGAAAGTTAATTAACTTGCTCACGGTGACAGACAGGATTGTCTCTTCTCATGGCACAGAACCTCAACTAAGGCAGAGACTGTCTTGTTCACTGCTTTCCCCAGCGACTTAGAAGGGTGCCTAGCACATTTTAAGAATTCAATATGTATCTGTAGATTCAGTTAACAAATATTGGGTATCTCCAAGGAATTGGGGTACAAAGCAGTGAACAAAATACTCAAAAACCCATGCAACCCTAGGAGGTAAGGCCCAATCTACCCATTTTGCAGAAGAGGAAAATGAGGCTCTGATGGGAGCAATGATTTATCCAAGATCAAGGGGCTAATTGGAGGCAAGCTGTAGATTCCAACCCAGTCCCGGCGGTTCCCAGGAACGAGCTATGAATCAATCAAACCGACCAATCCAGTCAACCAATCAGTATTTATTAGGCGCCTACTGCGTCCAGTTCCTCCTCACGCAGCGCTGACGCGGAGATCGGAGATTGCGGCGCGCACGCGGCTGTGGCAGGAGGCCGAAGCGGATCGCGGGAATTTGGCGCCTGCTTTTTGTAGGTTGGGTGTTCTCAACTGTGATTGGGCCCCAGCTGCGGCTGCTCGGTCGGCTGTGGCAGGGCCGGGGCGGCTAGGTACGCGACCGGCCTCCCGAGGAATGGGGCACCAGGAGCCTCCGCTGGCCCGAATGCCCGCGGGAGGTGCGGCTTATATAAAAAGGTTATGTAAAAGAATCAGCTGGCGCGAACACGTGGAGAGCCGCAGGAGTCTGGACGCCCGGTTCTCACCCGCGTGCGGCGCTGCGACTCCCGGTGCAGCAGCAGACTGCGGCGAACACCCGTCGCAGGCCAGTGCCTCTCGCGCAGCTCGGTACCCAAGGAGGCCCTGGCCGGGAGCCGACCATCCCCAGCCTGAGGCTCCAGGGGGTAAACGGGCCGCCCGGAAGTGGAGGGGCGCCCGCCAGGTAAGGGCGCAGTCGGCAGAGTAAAAGTAAGCGCTGAAACTAGAGCTGCCCACACCGCCTCGGGAGCTTGGGGAGGGCGACTGGGCCCTGGATTTGGCGCGCTCGGGGACGCTGAACTTTTAAGCCTACCCCCTCCACCCGCCACCCTCTAGCATTTGGGTGAGTCCGCTAGGCTCCGCTCGAGCTTAATTCAATGGACTGTTTACACCCTGGAGAACACAAGGCGGGACGCGGGGAGGGGGAATCCCACAAGGGGGCGGGCAGAACTAAAGATTTCCGTAGGACTAAAGATTGCCACAGTCCGAATTGCTTCTTAAGGCGATGTTAATAAATCATGAAGTATCCTGGTCCTTGTTTTTCCTATTCCTACACGGTAAATTAACTGAGAAGGCGGGAGTTTTTTGCTTTGCTTTCCGGTTTCCCCTCTGAGCCACTGCCCGTGGTTTCGTCTTTCCCGCTTTCCCCTCCTTTCTCTAGTTCTCTGAGCAGCGGTGGCTTCTGTCTTAAAGGGGCCGTGGCGGCTGGAGGAGGAGGAGGAGGAGGAGAAGGAGAAGGGGGTGGGGCGCTCTGCGGCCTGCGCTCCTTGCCTCCCCGCCTCGGCCTGGTCGTTTAACCGATTCTTTAACCCGCAGGTCACAATCCAAGCTCCCGCTCCTCCGCGTCCTGGGGTCGGACGGAGGGATGTGGCAGGGGGGCGCCAGGCAGCGCCGTTGCTGCTCCCCCCACCGCCCGCAGCCATGGAAACGGGGAAGGAGGACGGCGCCCGCAGAGGTACACAAAGCCCCGAGCGGAAAAGGCGAAGCCCAGTGCCGCGAGCGCCCAGCGCGAAGCTGAGGCCGGCGGCAGCGGCCCAGGCCATGGATCCGGCGGCGGCCGAGGCCCCGGGCGAGGCCTGTCTGGCGCGGCGGCGGCCTGAGGGAGGCGGTGGGTCCGCGCGGCCGCGCTACAGCCTGTTGGCGGAGATCGGGCGCGGCAGCTACGGCGTGGTTTACGAGGCAGTGGCCGGGCGGAGCGGGGCCAGGGTGGCGGTCAAGAAGATCCGCTGCGACGCCCCGGAAAACGTGGAGCTGGCGCTGGCCGAATTCTGGGCCCTGACCAGCCTCAAGCGGCGCCATCAGAACGTGGTGCAGTTTGAGGAGTGCGTCCTCCAGCGGAACGGGCTAGCCCAGCGCATGAGCCACGGTAACAAGAGCTCGCAGCTTTACCTGCGCCTGGTGGAGACCTCGCTCAAAGGTAGGAGCCCTGCGGCCCGTGGCCCCTTACGGAGGGCCTGGACCCACTGCTGTGGACGGCTCGGCTCCAACTGACCTCGGAAACCCTAGGCCCTGGTCCTGTCACCCTCGGCCCAGACACACCCTCCTTTCCAGGGCCCAGGCTTTCGTGTCCACCTTTCAGCTCAGGACCCAGGGTCAGTTCCTGGCGCACGGATTAGCCGGTATTTTCATAACAAGCGCTCATTAAGGGCCAATCATTGTCTTAGTAAGTGCTCAATACGTGCGATCCATTATTGTGAAAAACATCTAGTACTTTTCATCGGTCTGGGAGTGGAGGGGGTTGGGTTCAAAATTGGTGCAAGAACTTCAGAAGCCCCCTCACTCTCTTTCCCTCCCAAAGCAAACAAAAAGGAAAGACTTGACTGAACCCGCCCTCACCCCCTCCCTGTCTGGTTCCAAATATCCTGACACCCTCCCAGCTCCACCCCCACCCCATCCCCCCAACTCACACTTCCTCGTTTTCCTTTTCCTCTGAGACCCCCAGCCCTTCATCCCAGGACAGTGAAGCAAACTCTTTTTCTGGCTAAGTCCCTGGGGGTCTGCAGAATAATAACCCTGTCACATAACTACACTTAGCGTCTTTTTCATCCTTGTTTGCGTTCTTAATCTTGTCCTGAATCCTCTGAGGCTGGCTTGGAAGTGATTTTATTGGTAGGGAAGCTGGGGTTCGGTGAGGCATGGGGGCTTTGTAGTCCTTGGGAGGGCCAATCCTAGTTTCCGGTTTTTCCCTGCCGTGTGTTCATCCTGAGTGTTCAGTGCTGACAGTTCTTGTGCATAGGACACCTAGCCATGGATTTGCTCAGAGAGAAGAGGGCCAGTGGGCTAGAAGGATCTGAGGAGACTTTCTCAGGGGGGAGGTTACTAAACTTGAGTCCCAACTCCATCCTAGATGTCATACGGAAGTGACTTGAGATAAAAGTTCTAAGTTAATCCTCACCTTTCTATAAATGGAGAAACTAAGGATTAGGCTTTCCAGTAGATTCTTCCAGCTCGCCTGTATTTTACAGGGTCTTCGTTTCATTTTCAGACTGTCGTCTCTGCTATGGTTAATGAATGATCTAGACTTCAGTATTACACGACTGCCTTGGGTTATAGGAATTTGCCAAACACTCTCCTTCTACCCCTCAGTTCATTAATACCAGGCTTGAAACCAGCCTGGGTTTGAAG